TGTTAGTAACTAAGGGAGGAGAGAAAGAGTGATTGGGTGAGGGGAAGTGCACATACAAAGGTCCGAGATGGAAGGAAGTGTGGTGAGTTCAAGGACCCAAGGGCAGATCTGCTCGCAGCCTGCTTTTATTCTTCAACCCTACTAGTGGGAACTGCTATTACCCCCTCTTCATAAATGAGGGTGCAGTGGCTCAGAGAGGTTAAGTGACTTGCCCAAGGTCATACAGTGAATAAGCATCTGAGTCTGGACTCAAACCCAGGTCTGACAGCCTCCAAAGCCCATGCTCCTAGTTACAGCCTCCATGGCCTTGGGATCCAGCCAGCTTTTGCTGCCAGAACAGAGGGAGAAGCAATGACAGCCTGATGTGTCAGCATCAGGTGGTTCCTGGAGAGAACTTTGAGTACCTCCCCACCCATTTTTCAGATGGGGAAAGTGAGGCCCAGTGAAGGGAGGGACTTGCCACAAACTGGCAGCAGAACTAGACCTGAATTTTTTTCCCCCCAAGTCCAGGGGCCATCAGCTTTGCCTTTTCCTCCCCTTCATGTTTTTATATTTTCCCAGGGTGCAAACTGAGTCCCCCCACGCCCCACCCCAGGAACTTCTCTGGCCTGGACCCAGTGTTGTGATGTGTGAGAGAGGAGGGTGGGGTAAGGACTTTTCCTCAAGGGAAGGAGCGTGTAAACAGCCAGCAGACCCTCCCTCCACTCAGCTTGGCTAGAGGATGGGGTGGGAGACAGTCCCCAAAGGGTGAACCATGGAGACTCGGGGCAAGCGGTCAAGAGACAGCTCCATCCCAGTCAGCTGCTCAGTCCTCTGGGGAAAGGGCTAAGCTGTTTTTAGAGTCCTAACAATTCATGTGCGGGAGGGCACACACACACACACACACACACACACACACACACACGGCTTGGATACCAGTCCCTCACCCCACACAAAGCACCACCTGCCCCTCCAGAAGGTCCTCAAACAGGAGGAAAAGCTTGATTTTCCTTGTTTTCCAGAAGAAAACAACAGAAAGGGGGAGGGGCCGCATGCAAGGTAGAGGAGGGTTTGGGGCAGGCCAGCCACCTGCTGGTGTAGGTGCGATTCAGTTGCTCCTGAAACTGGCAGGTAGGACCCTGCTGAACCCACGTGGAGCAAGGGACCCAACCCCACCGTCTGGGGCCCTGACCTTGTCACTGAGTCACTGGCCATCTCTTCTCAGAAACTGACCATGAGGCAGATGCAGAGGCGGCTTCCTCCTGCGCAGCTGTTTGGGGTTTGGCCTGACCTCGCCTCCTGGATCAGTCAGTCACGGACCCAGGCCTCCCTCCTCTCTCCCACATGGGGCTCCCCTTCTCTGGCTGGCCCTGTGCTGAGGGTTTATGCATGTTTATTATCTCACTGAGTCCACGTGAGTCCCATGAGGTGGAAATTATTCCCATTTTATGCATGAGATGACTGAGGCTCAGAGAGGTGAGGCAACTCATCACACAGCTACACTGAGAACTGAGATTCAGCTCAGGACCAAGTGTCTCTACACATTTCAGCTCCTGCCATCCCTTAGCCTGACTTAGAAAGGCTCTGCCCTCAAGCCAAGGAGAGCCTGTGGTAAGAGCCCTCATCCAAGCCACTAAATCTCAGCCCGGCTGGAGGTGAGGCTGCCTGGGAGTCAGGGATCGGGTCCCAGCTCCGTCACAACATACTTGTCCACTTTCTCTGAACTTTAACTTCCTCATTTGCAAAATGAACACAATGCTCAGACCTTCTCCAGACCTGTTGTGAGGACCAGTGGAGATGAGGCCTGGAGTGCCCTTGGTGTGTGTGGCCGTAGCTATCATTTTGAATTCGCCACCTGTCACTGCCCGCCCCACCCAGCCAAGCCCTCGCTCCCACGCGGGCTGAGCAGGCCCAGCTCAGCCCCAGCTATTCCTCATTCTCCTTTTCCAGCCCGAAAAAGGGGCTCCTTAGGGGCAGGGGCCAAGGGTACCCCCCCCCACCTGCCCAGCCAGGGAGAGGACAGGCAAAGCCAGATGTTCCCCAGATGTTGCCGACTGTAAGCAAAACAATCGCACAGGAGCGTTCCTCTGAGGCCCAGCGGTTGTTTGAGGGCCTGAGCGCTCTGAGGAAGAGGCGGGGAGGGCCTGGGGCAGGCTTTGGGAAGAGGGGTGAATGGCCGAGGCTTGCTGGGGTAGGCTGTCAGTGGGAGGCGCTAGAGAGGGGCTAGAGAGGGGCGAGTAAGCAAAGGGTCTGGGGAGCAAGGCAGGGAGGTGAGGGTGGGGAGCTCAGAGGAGTATAGTGACAGTGACCGTGAGGGGAACAGGGCGGAGTGAAGCCTGAGAATCCGGCTGCCCTGCCACCATTGCCCCTTCCCCACCCCAGGATCCCCGCTTCACAGGGAAGGAACTTAGAGCTCCATAGGGGCTCTCGGCCCCCCTGAGCTGCACCTGGAGAAAATGAGCTCCCTGTTGCCGGAGGGAGGCAAGCAGAACCCCAAGAAGGGGCCCAAGCACCAGGCAGCAGTTTGGAGTAGAGGGAGAGTCTGGGAGGCCCTTTCTGCCCCAAGCCAGACCAGGAGGCCGAGAGCTCCAGGGACTTGACTCACCCGCAGTAAAGCTGAAGCTGGCACAAGCAGGCCAGTGCTGAACCTCCACCGGCTGGCATCCAGCCACGCAGCACTGCCGTGCCCTCTCCCCTTTCTACCCTTCGCACCCTATTCGTCAGCTGACCCCAAATGTGCCCAGCTAGGCCAAGACCAGGCAGAGGTGCAGAGACAGGCTGTTCCAACTTAGTCCCTGGAATAGGCCAGCTTTGTCCTCTAGCAAAACTGTTCCTAGAAGTACAGGGAGCTGGGGTCTGAGACTAAAAGCTCCCTGTCCTCTCTAATAAGGGCAGAGCCCGGGCTGGGCAAGTGGAGGAGCTTTGCCCCGTCCCTCTGACCCTGAATAATGATGTCACTTACAGCAGCTCGTGCTGAAGGATCGCATCCCTGTGCCAGGGACTGGGCTGAACTTGCCACAGGAATGACCTTGCTCAGTCATCACAGCTCTGGGGTAGGTGCCAAAATACGATTTACAGATGAGAAAACTGAGGCAAAGAGAGGTTACATGATTGATTCAGATTTGCAGTGACAGTCAGGTGGAGCCAGGAGCTGAATCCTAGAGCCTGACTCTGGGCTCTGGGCCTCTCACCTCACTGGATGCTGCTTCCCTCCCTCCCCCTCAGTCTTCCCACCTGTGGGATGGGGAGGGAGCTGGACATACTGACCTCACAGCTCTCAGATCCCACACTGACCAGCCTGGGATTGCCAGGCAGAGATTAAGAAACCCACCCCTTCCTCATATGGGAAGCAAAAGTGGGGACCAGGCCAAAGAACACTGTACAGGTAAGGGGACTGAGGCCTACGGGGAAAGGGCTGTACCCAAGGCCCCCTGGAGCCCAGGGCAGAAGGACCAGGCACCTTTGCAGTCTGCTCTCCAGCAGCCTGGCAGAGCCCAAGCCCCTCTGAGGCCGAGGGGCCTGCGTGTGAGTCATGGAAACAGGCGGTGGGGCCTTCCGAAATGGGAATTCCATCTGCCTGACTGTTCTCCTGGACTCTGGTTTCCATGGTGATTTGGGGTGGGAAGGTGGAGGGTCTGGAGGAGGGCTACATCCCTGGCCTAAAGAAGGGGAGTCTCCTGCAGGCTGTGTCTCCTCCAAGCAGGAGATGTCCTTGCTTCCAAATAGGAGCCCATCTCTGCTCCCCAACTTTCCTGCCTCCCCGAGGCACTGGCAACTGCACCGGTGGGAAAGCCCTTCCCCATTACACAGCCACACAGGGCTCACTGGCCAGCTCCAGTGCCTGGAAGGAGACAGCCCGACTCCTGGAAGAGCTCACATTCGGTGCTAGGGAAAAGGCTATAACATGCATTGAGCACCTACTGCATGCCTGGCCCCAGGTTACGCCTCTGGAGACCACCGTCTCTGATGCTTTCCACATGGGGGTGGCCTCGCCCAGGGAGACCAGCAAGGGAAAGCAGGGAGGAGAGTGGCTGCACAGCCCCATGTCCTTTGCATCTCCAAGTCCCCAGTGGGCAGACCTGAACCCAGGACACCAGGCAGAAAACAAGATCCAAGGAGAAGAGTCCAGCCCCTCCTGCAATAACCAACTCTGTCCAGCCTTAAGTCAGCCAAGCTGAGCCAGTCCCTGCCCTCAGGCCATGCCCTGGCCCCTGCCTGAGACCCTGGCAGGCTGTATGTGTGGGCATCAGAGGAAGCTTTGGCATCGGCTTGACCTAGGTTCCAGGCTCTCCACCCGCCACCCCCAAAAGTGGGCTGGGGCCTCCCCTGAACTGTGGCTTTGGACCAGGTCTTTCCTGAATTTGCATCTCCTGTGAGGCACAGAGGGGGAAGTCTTCCCCAGGGCCACAGAGGGTCCCTATTCCCTGTCACCTCCTCAGTTCTTCCTTCTGTCCTAAAGGCCTCCGAGAGCCTGCCTATCTGCAGCTGCTGCCCAGCCGAAGATTCTGGCCCATCTATCTCGCCAGTCATCCCTGTGACACCTGAAAGTTCCACCAGAATCTCAGGGTGTGGAGGGCAGAGAAAGGAAGGAACTTGCTGAAGGTCACATAGCTGGTGGCCGAGGTCAGACTCCATTCTGTAGCTGGCAGAGGACAAGATCCAGAGCTTTGCAGCCAGTTGGGCTTGGGTTGAACCCTGTCTCTGCCACTTGCCCGCTGTGTGAACTCGGACAAGTCACCTTACCTGCCTGTGTTTCACTCTCCTCTCTGTGAAATGGGGATGACCCCTCCTCCCAGGCTAGCAGAGAAGATGGTAAGTGGAATGAGCATTGAGCGTGGCGGAGAACCTGTCACCGAGGCAGAGGTTGTCAGGGAGCAGCTCTTGCCAGTGTATCGTGCCTATGACTCCAGGATGGGAGTAGGTGATGGCTACAGAGGAGAAGCTGGACCAACAGCCCAACTACCAACCCTCCCAGCCCAGTCACCCTGGGAAGCGTCAAAACCAGGAACACACAGAAAGGGTCCAAACCAAGAAATAACACAGGCCTTTTATTTGCTCCAGAACTTGGCTGCTGTGTGGTCGGAGGGTGTCATGCTTTCCCAGGGCCCCTAAGGGACCTCCTTAGTCGAGGGGCTGGATTTCTGTGCGAGGTCAGACTACATCACCTGCCCCTCCAGGCCTCCTCAGGCCAGAAGGCCCAGCAGCCTGCCTCGGGTGCCTGGGACCAGCAAAGCCCTGACACTGGAAAATGACGTCCACTGTCTCTGCAAGGTGGCTTTTCACAAGGCATTGGTTAAAATATTGCACTTGTAAATTAGGAAAACTGATGAGGCAAAGGTTTCCTGTCACAGGAAGACATGCCAAGCATCCTACTACTGTTTAAATAAATAAAACTCAAGGCAGGGGTCTTAGCTGCGAGCCCCAGTGGCCCCCCTGGAGAGCCCCGGAGCCTGGGCCATGCCCCTGCCCCATCAGCCAGTTCTTTAAGGAACTTGGTCAATGTGAGGTCTCTGCAGCAGGGAGCAGCAGCTCCACATCTGGCTCAGCCAGGGCCGCTGACCTGCCGGGGCCCTTGGGCCCCCTCGTACCGGGGCAGCGGGGACCCAACAGGGCCAGTCCTTCTCTCCTCCAGTGGCCTGGGCCTCTCTTGGTCCAAGCCTCTCATCCAAATGTCCATCTGTCTGTCCGGAGACGTGGCCTCTGGGGGCTTGGTTGCCCCCTCCGTCGCGGGGGAGAGGGAGATGTAGGAGGAAGCCCAGCCCTCCTGGTGTGAACGCTGAGCTCTACCCTGGTGACCCCTAAAGGGGGGGACTCATCTTCTTTTGGTTAATGAGGTCCAGGTAGAGGTCAGAGCGGAGAAAGCGTGGGTACGAGTCCTTTTCCATGAGCCCAAAGATGCGCTTCTGTGCCAGATCGAAGCAGCCCCTCGTGACGCTCTGCAGGTTGTCCTTGGTGTGCTCCCGTGTGTATGAGTCCAGGTTTACCTTCAGGGGCAGAGTTGGCATGGTCAGTGCTGCCTGCAGGGGGCTCGCCCTGGGGACTAGGGGCAGGGGTGGGACCTATCCAGCCTCTCACCTCCAAGCCCCCCTGCTCCACATCTTAAGGTTCAGCGTGGAGGCCCCCGGGTCAGCAAATTCAAGTCTTAGCTTGGTCACTTACGCCACTTCTAGGGTCAGGCTGCCGGGGTTCAAATCCCAGCAGGGCCCCGCCTAGGTGTGTAGCTTTGAGCAAATCACTTAAGTGCTCTGAGCCTCAGTTGTCTGATCTACAGATTAGGAGTAATAGTACATTCTTCAAAGAGTTGTGCATTAAGCAAGGTCATCCATGTTAAACATATAGGGACTGGATCACAGAGCATCCCTGTGACTGACTGCACGCAGTGCCTGCACACGGTAAGCACTCTACAGGTGCCAGCTACTATGATTAGGCTCGTCAAGACTGTCCCTCATTTAAAAATGAAGAGAATATTAAAGCCTATTTTACAGGTTGTCATGAAAGCATAAGAGCCCATTCAGAAAGGGCTTAGCATCGCAACACAGGCCATTTTTGTTATCAAAGGCATTCAGTTCTTCCTGAGGCCCCAGCTTGCTTCCTCTCCACCCAGGACACGCGTCCCTAAGAATCACTCTGTCCTCTCCCCTTTCTGATGTCCTCCTTGAGGCATCCAGGTACCCCAATCACTAAGAGGCCAGGGGCGGGGGGACAGGGCTGAGGGCCCAGCCCGAGGCCCTACCTCCTTGCACGCCTGGATTGCGATGTACTCGGCAAAGATCTTCTTGGCCTTGGCTGCCATCTTGGACTGAGACTTGACCTTCTTAAAGTCCTCGCATGCCAGCCAGAATTCCAGGTTCTCCTCACTAAACTCAGTGCGAAGGAAGGCCTGGAACACTGCTAACCCATCTGTGAAGAGAAGTCCAGAGCCTAGGTGAGAGGGAGAACCAGCCCCTCCTGCCTTCAGGACCCCCCGATTACCCTCTTGGGACTGTTAGGGTACAGATGCTGGGAAATCCCGCGAGCCTGAAGCCCTAGGAGGTGGTCCCACCCCTGCCATTGCCTCTTTGTGGGTCTTGGCCAGGTTTCTCCCCATCTGTGCCTCAGTTTCCTCATCTATAAAATGGGCATCGTCGGTCAGTCTCCTGGAGCCCTGTGAGGATCAGAAGGGATCCTGCCCATGAGAGGATGGGCACATTTGGCCCAGTGCAAGCCTCAGTACAGGGAAATGTTTATTGCAATTCTGGGAACATGGGTCTGAGCACATAGGTCCCAACGGCCTCTAGCAGGCAGTGCCAGCTCCCACGGACAGGGAGGGGCTGGCAGAAGTAGGCTCCAAGGCAATACCGAGGGCCTCAGCCCGGGCTCAGCCTCTCCCAACAACAAGGACACCTCGCTGGGCCCAGTAAAGAAGGAAAGGCCACCTCTGCAGGATCAGTCGCATGCACCCTCTGATGTGGGAGAGAAGGCCAGAGAGAGGGAGGGAGAGAACCCAGGGAGGGGGTCACTGGCCCCCACTTACATTTGTGAAGCAGCAGCTTCTCCAAGGACTCGCCCCATTTGAGGGCCTCCTCCGAGGTGGGCCTGAGGGGAGAGGGAAGGGGCACAGTGAGGGCACTGTGAGGCTCCGAAAAGTGGGGTGGCTAGCTCTAGGCAGCCTCTGTTAGCTGCTCTTGGCGCGGGCAGTGGCTGATCCTGATTGGGGAGCCCAGGAGGGGTCCACCCCTTTCTTGGGGCCAGCAGCACTTCTAGCCCCTACCTTGCCCCTGCCTGGCCCCTGCCTGGCCATCCTTCCCAGGGCAGCTGTTCCCCGAGGGCTGCTGCTTGCAGGTACCAGGCTCCCTCTATCAGAGCCTCCATCCAAGCCAGAAATGGATGAAGCCAGCAACATCCCTTCCCCCTTAACTCCACCACCAGCCCCCCTCCCCCGGAGACCAGTGAGCACCTAAGGGGTCCCAGGGTGCCAGGGAGGACCTACTTGAATGACTTCATCACTTTGTCTGCCTTGCCTGCTGGCTGGGCCCCAGGGGACTCGTTCCGCCGCCTGAAGATGCCCAGCTTGTTCTTCATGTCCTTGGCTCTGGGGGCAGAAGCAGAGAAGGGGGTCGGTCAGCCCGGCACGCTCGGCGCCTACAAATTCAGGGTGGGGAGGCCACGGGCTGGGGTGAGGGGCACCTACTCCTTCATCGTGTGCCGCCTCTGTAGGTTCCCGTTGCGCGTGAGGTACATGCCTCGGAGCATCTCTGTAGGGCCCCCCACCTTGGGGCCCGGGAAAGTCTGCAGGGAGCACCCGCGGGCTCCTGCACCCCACTCTCGGTCCCGGCGGCAGGCGAGCAGCAGTGGGGCAGGACGCAGCCAGCCGAGCGTGCTCCCCGGGATCTGAGCAGGACGCCCGGACTCCCAAGGATAGGCTGGGCTGGGACTCGGACGGGAGGAGCCAGGAAATGGGAGGGACCGGGACTGGGAGCAGGAAAAAACCCTCCGGGCCAACCCGGCGAGGGAGCCCTGAAAGGGGCTGTGTCTGCGCGGACGGCCTCTGGCCCGCCCCGGCAGGAAGCCAGACCCAGTTATTTGTGAGTGGTCTCCCCCGTTTCCAAGGCAGCGCCCGGAAGAGGGAGAAAACAAGTCCGCAAATTGCTGGGAGGGAAGGGGGAGGGAAAGGGGAAGGGAAGAGGGGAGGGAGGGGAGCCTCCGCACACCAGGGTGGCAGGACTGGCTATTTTTAGGCAAGAACTATTTTTAGCTTAGCGCCCCCCCCCCC